TATATATATATATATATATATATATATATATATATATATATATATATATATATATATATATATATATATATATACGTAAATACAACGTTGTAGCAACGTAAATACAACGTTGAAGCAACGTAAAATACAACGTTAAGTCAACGTATAAAATAAAACGTTGTATCAACGTAGAAGATATAACCATTTTCCGACTTCAAAAAAACGTTTTATTGACATTAGTTTTCAGTTGCTGGCGACGTTGCATTTTTAATCATAATGATATAAAAACAACTTTGGCAATTAATGTTTGGCCAACAAAACGCGCGACATTGTTCTAATGTTTTAACAACGTATGTGTGCTACCTGGGTGATGAAGTATATTCTATGTTAAACCATTTTATTAATAATTTTGTCACCGACACGGTTAAAGAACTGTTAATTTTCTGCAATTCCTGTACTGGGCAAAATAAAAACTATACCGTTTTTCGCTGTTTTTACTATCAATGTAACAGAAAAAAGAAAATTTGAGTGTGTTAAACTTTTCTTTCCTGTTCGTGGGCATTCGTATGTGGAAAGTGACAAAATCATGAATTTGATTAATCAAACATTTTACGTTGAATTGCGCGAAGAATGGAGAAAAATAATAAGAAATTCAGGAATAACGTCTATACCGTTTTATGTCAGTGATTGCTATCATGAATTTTTTAAATCATGGACAGATTTTTTTAAACCTTTGTATAAAGCTAAATCTCCTTTTCCTACTCCCTGGTGGGTTATTTGATGTCTGCAAACTGACCAATCATTCATTTTATACCGGGAAACATTTTTTGGTTGCTATCTTAAAGGAAATGTCATGTGGGCACCTCCAGAAAAGGGAATGGAACAAGGAATGAAACCACCCACAAAATGTTAGCTTACCAACTCATACAATGCTCGCGTTTCTGTAAATATTGCTAAATTTAACAACTTAAAACATTTGACGAATTTTCTCACCAACCTACACGCAGTTAACTGTTACATGAAACTTCTAAGAACAGAAAACTCTTCATAAGAAAACCCTGAAGATATCTTTTTGGATTACGAGATAAGACTATATGAATGAGTAGACTAATTCTGGTTTTATTGTTTAAGTCGTTTCTTATGTAGGCATTATTCGGAGTAAAATTTTTTATGTACCGTAATAATTTATAATTCTAAAAGCAAAATATTATTCTTAATTTAGTAAACCTATCAAATACTGCATAAAATATTCTATTATTTCTTTCCTTCTCTTATTTAATATTTAACATACTAGTAATTACATTATGTTTCATATTTTTTAAATTTTACTGAGACTCATAAATACAATTGATTCACATATTTTGTTTTAATAATAACCTTAATACTCAACTTTGACAATTTTTAGTTTATTACTTGATAAAAGCTACTTATATTTTTATTCTTTATTTTTTTTTTGTTGAAAATTTTATGTTTTTTAAGGTGTCACTCCATTGGCTAGTTTGTACTTATATGAGTGACAATTAACCAAATTCGATTAACTAACCAAATTCTATTAACTCTAATAATTCTATTATATAGTTCTTTACTATAAAATTGTTATTCAAAAAATAAATCTTCTGAACACACTATACTCCATAAAACAAAACATATTTTAGTATTAAAAAGTCCAAATTTACTTTAGACATTTTTATTGATTCATATAAAGCGTTTGATACAACTGATCATAAAATCCCATTCAAAAAACTTAAGCATAACGGAGTCTCTTCCCAGAGAGCACTAACACGTTGGTACAACGTTGCTATTAAGTCAAAAAAATTGGATAATAGACTGATAACCCGCTAACGTTATTTATATAGGTCAAAAAGTCAACATCAAAACAACGTCGGCTAAAAACCTTTTACAAACCTCCATTTTATATTAAAAATGGGACATTTAATAATATGATTTTATACTATATTAGTTGTTAAAAACAAATATTTTAGATACTCTTAACTAGTTTTTGCATACTATGCATACAAGATGAGATCGGACTCGTAAAAATACGGGTCTTTGTAAGTGTATTCCAAACAAAACTTTTCTTTACTTTTTCACTGTACATCCTAGTTTTCCGGATCCGTAAAATACGGGTCTTAACCAAGCCTACCGTTTCTATCCATATATATTTTGCACTGATTATCTATATACCTATTTCTTATTTAATTCAATATTTTTCAGTAAAACAATTTATTTTGAAATAAAAATTCAAGAGTAAAAAACTTAACATGTGCAACTTTTCCGCATATGTAGAGCTTATAAAAGACTTATAATTAAGTTTTTTTTTTTATTAAATGCATTTCATTTGATAGCTCAGTAGTTAGGTGTGCCGTCATCAGTTTTGTTTTGGGGGTTTAAGACTTTCCCTAAGCGTAATAAACTTTGAAATTTTATCAATCATGCTTATATACTTATAACAAAAAAATCTTAACCTAGCAAAGAAGATTTCCAAAACTTAAAGTGATATTTTAAATTTCTCTTATTTTATAGATATATTATACAACAATTTTGTTGAATTGTTAAAGTTATACCTCTTTTTCATTGTCTTTTGACAAATTTGCACATCAAACAATCACACTACGCTGTTTGCCTTGTGATGGTTTTCGACAAAGGAGTCAAAATCGAACAGGCCTGGAAAATTTTTATCACTTGGCTAATTGATCTTGAATTGACAAGTCCTGCCAACTCCAGAAAGCACACAATCATTACTGAAGTTTACAGTATTTGAGATAATATCATAAGCTTTCTTTAGATAAGATTTTGTCAATTGCAAAAATAAGTACGTGAGAGCAATGGTAATCTGTGTACTTTTCTAAGCTCAAAAAAATTAATTGAAAATCCAGATTTGCTTTTTATAATTTAACCTAATTGAAATTTAGTGTGAATAGCTATTAATCTAACATTAAAAAGTTTATAAAATACATTATTTTAAAAGGTGATATCTTTCATTAAATAACGGTCAAAACTAACTTTTGCACAAAGTATCCAAACTAAATTCTCTGTTAGATTTCAAACTGTTAGATTTCAGATTTTAATTTCAATTTTTGATGATAGCATTTTTAGCACTAGGGGTCATGATTTTCAAGATTTTTCTTGTTTAATTTTGTACGTACAACAAGTATTATGTATCTATCTAATATGTTTGCATCATTTATACGTATAATAAATATAGATTTGTATTGGTATTTGTTATTTATGTGCATTGTTTATATGTATGTTTATATGTGTGGCATGTACACATATATATAAAGCATAAATTTTTGTTGATGTGCTACAAAGGGTTGTTTAGTTTATCGTCATTTTCTCAAAAATAATTTTCTCAGACTTATCGCGTTTTTCAAATAGGATTTTCAAAAAGAATTTAACATGGTTTGCAAACCAAACCGTGAATGCGTTTTTACTAATACCGATGTATGACTTTTTATTAAAACTGGGATTAGGTGATGCTAAAATAGCTTTATATACAACATGTTTTGATAGACATTGGTTATTTAATCAGAATTGGGTTTTCTTAATGCATTTGCAATATTTGGTATGCAGTTGTAACAATCTTCAACAGTATTTCTGTTATAAACTTTGAGGAGCTTATGGTGTAATGGAAAATGCAAGTTAATTAAGTTGAACAAAAGGTGACCGATTTTGGTTACAAACTTTTTACTGAAGGAGGATTTAAGCATATATTATTTCTTTTTTAGTATCATTAGAAGGATTTAGATTTAAATGTCGTAGAAGATAGGTGTGAAATCCAGACATTTGAAATGCGTCATTATAAATAGGGTTAGTCTTTAAAAAAAAATTGCTTCAAAAATTGGAAGATGATCTATGTTCTGTTAAGATTGTTAGTTATTTTAAAAAGCTTGGTGGATGGTTGGAACTAGCATAGATATAGTTTTACAAGCTATCAGGTTTATGGTAAGATTGAAAACTGTTGTTAAAATTTAATTTAACATCAAGGCAATTAGAAATTTTCAAATTAGATTGAATGGGAATACTGAGGTTGTATTGTTCAAATATATAAATAAAATGCTTCTTATTTTTTCCAGTATTGGACCGCTTGCGTTTTTGAACCATCTTTTCTATTTAATTCTAAATTAGTCATGCTATAAAAATTCAAAATTTGAAAAAGAAAAAAAAATACAAACTAACTCACACATCTTCGCTTCCTCAAATTCACCCGTGGTAACATCAAACAAATGATTCAACCTTTTATATCCAAATTTGATCATTGGTAAATAATGAAGATTTACGCGCGTGGATAATAACTTTTCATTAATTGAAGGTTAAAAGTCAACGATGTCAAAAAAAAACAATGTATAAAAATGTTTTCGATTGGTATTTTAGAACCTTTTCAATACATTTTGTGTAATATTACATTAATTTAATTGCAAAATATTTCTTAACTTAGTCGAAATATTTAATAAAATTTATTTACATAATCTACCAACTTCATTCTTCGCTGGATAAATTAGACAAACAGTAAGGTTATTTAAAAACTTTGGTTTATGTTTTTTAAATGTAATAAAACAATTGGAAGAACTGTTTTTATTGAATTTGTTAAAGCATCATGTTTCTTCAAAATAGGTTTTCCTTTTTTATTAATGTAATTCTTAATTATAGAGTTGTTTTGTGTATATAATATTTATATTTAATTAAGTGTTGTGTTTATATTTAATTAGTGCTGTGGTTCTTTCTTATTTTTTTAAAATATACAAAGACCTGCCTACCTGTCATAGCTAAACTGATTTATGATTTTCTTAAAAGTATATAAATTTAATTTACTTTTATATATAATTCAGGTAAACTAAAAAAAAAAAAAAAAAAAAAAAAAAAAAAAAAAAAAAAAAATATATATATATATATATATATTTATATATATATATATATATATATATATATATATATATATATATATATATATATATATATATATATATATATATATATATATATATATATATATATACATATATATTTACATATTTATACAATTACAAAGTATACATGCCTTCGTTTCCATTTATTATTCTTAAATCTTTTATAGTGGCATCTGCACTATCGACCCATGGATTAGCTGCATACAAAAAGACATTTGAAAATGATTTTGGTTGTGTGTTTTGAATATTATAAACATTAACTCCATTTAAGTATATGGCATACATATAAACTTCATTAAATTGATATTGGGAAATTCTAATACTTGACCATTCGTTTAGCTGTAATGGCTTCGTGTAAAATGAATGGCTAATATCTCCATTAACTGAAGAAGCAATTTGTAATGATCCTGATTCATCATTAGAAAACCATACTCCTGGAGTTCTAGATCCATCGTTTCCATTATCGCCTCCAATAGTCAAATGAATTACCGATGTCCAATACGTTGCTTTGAACGACTTTGGTCTAATCTTAAAAGAAACTGAGTATGACTTTTCAAGCAATACTAATATTGCAATTAGATTATTTTTTACCAACGCACGTTCCATAATGTTTTCTATAAAATCTAAAACAGAATAAAAACCATATATATCTGTATACAATGCGCGACATAATGACCCCAAAATTATTTATATAACTCTAATATGCATTTTTATTTAAAAACAAATATTTATATTAAATGAGAGCAAAAGGATTACAAGACTAAACAACTTTTTCAAAAAAATTATTTTAATCCTAACTTGCATTTTATTAAAAAAAACAACTGTGTTTTAAGTGCGACAAAAATATAAGACACTTTATAAAAAAATTCATATAAATTGTCTTTTATGAAAAATAGCATCTCAATTTTAAACAACCAATAGTGGCTATTTTCCCCATTTTTTTGAAACATTTCAATCATTCTAGAAGCTAAAGAATCATACAACTTTCTTATGATTGAAATGTCTACTGCATCCCATGCAGATGGGATGGACGATTTCAAATCAGCTTGTAAACTATCTTGTTTACCACCTTCAAACACTATATGTGACAGCTGTGCCGAAGCATTCTCAATAACTTTCAGGTTTGAAGATCTAGCGGGCCACTTTAATGTTTCAATTTTACTGCTGTTGAAATATTCCTGTGTTATCTTGCTGTATGAATGCTAGAATTATCTTGCCTAAAAACAAAATTTTCACCTATGAGAGATGCTTCACGTCTAAAAAATTCTTGATTAACTAAAAGACTATCCTTAAACTTCATTTTTTCCTCAATAATATCAATTTTTGGTTTATCATGATACCTAGTTCCATACCAAATCATTACACCACCACCCCTCATTTGACGTCATTGCTGTGTTACTGGTTCTTTAAGCAAATTGATAAAATAATAATTCTATCTATCCGGTCCATAAAGACAAAATTGTTTTTCATCAAAAAGTACTACTTGTTTCCACTCTTCTTTCCATGATACGTGGTTTTTCGCAAAATTTATTTGATTGTTAATGTGATTTGTTGTCAAAGATGGTTTTCACTAAAGTTTATTGCGTAAAAAGTGAAAAGCAATATGATTAGCTTGATGATCTGTACGTAAATAAGCAATTACACCTGCTTCTGCAGCAACTTGACGTGCAATTAATAAAGAAATTGAAGCTTGTCTAAACAACCTTTGCCTATCACGGTCACTTAATGTTGATGGACATCCGGGACATTTTTCTATTCCTATCATATAAAGACTATAAACGTAGTTTTTAATTAGAGTTCAACTGCATCCAATAGCTTTAGCCATGTAACTAAAGAACTGACCCGATTTTGATAATTTAGAGAGCACTTTTTTTCATCTGGACTCAACGGTGCAATATTTTTTATTTCTAATGGATTGCTAACGATTGGCAAAACATTTTTTCCATTCACTCTCCGTTGAGCTAATATATTGCTTATCAGGTACATTTTTAGAGAAAACAACACATTTATATACCACATTTTTTGATAAACAATTTCCATTCATTGGACAATTGTTGTTGTTTTTTTAACTAGAGTTTTCTGTCTTTTTTTCATTTAGGATTTCTCTTATAATAAATAAAGCATTATTGTGGCCTTTTTTTAAATTCTTTTTAAAATTTTTTTGTTCAACACTATTTAACGTTAATTGTTTTTAGATTAAAAATTTTATCTAATTTAGGTGGCATATTAGAGGGCACGAAATGCTTATCAACAAATTTTAACAACACTTTCTCTATGTTAGTGGAAATACTTTTGCTATATGGGGGCTAAACCAAATTACATTTTTAGTCCTCTTTCCGTTATTTATTTTTTTCCAGGGTCAAGTTTTGGGTAATATTAGTTAGTATTAATATACAATAATTCATCGTTTGAGTTAAAATTAATATAGAATAATTCATCGCTGGGTTTTTTAAAAGACTCTTATGAATTTTCAGAGAGGTTATATGTGACAATAGAAAAATCACAAGTCTCTTTTAAAAATTTTTATAGTATTTTTTCTAAATTTATCAAGCTGTAGATCAGATTTTTTACGCATTGTTACAGGGTTGTGGAGTCCCAAAAAAAAATCGTTGAAATTTTCAGAGTACGACTACAACTTCAAAGCAAAGTTTTTAAAAAAATTCGTTGAATTTTTTCTAAAAACATTACGCGATAATTTAAAAATATATTTTTTTGTACAAGCACACGCACTCCAAAGAGGTTTTACAATTGGAGTCGGATTCGCAATTATGTTTATAAATTATAACTAAAAATGTTGCAAATCAAACTCCACATCCCTGGCATTACTATTAAACCATCATCACAATAAAGACCTAAATAACTAATAGCCATTATTTTACTGAAAATACATAAAATATAGTATCAAACAAATTTACAAATATCTGCTCCATCATAACTGCCCGTTCTCAGCTAACATTTATTCTAAAATAGACCTCTTTTAGGCGTATTAAAACCTTTTTTTTTACACCAAATGTTTGCTGGGTTGCTACATCAAAGCAGTAATCTATGTTTTTTTTTTTCTCATTTTTTAAGTTTTATTTTAAAATAAAGTAAGGTTTTTCTGCAATGTTATATTATACAGATTATCTCTTACGGAATAACTGTGTGGCTTTTAGCAAATTCATTTGTTTTATCTAAAATTAATGCAGTATATTGTATATTAATATTAATTAAGACCATTGATCCAAAATCCTGAAACAAATTTAAAACCAATTATCCAAAATTCTAAAACAAATCCAAATTTCAATTAATAACCGACTAAACCAAAACTCCTCTGATAAAAACGTACTTAATTCCTCTAAACGAAATTTTGAAAATTCTTTTAAAAAAAATGGTTTTCAAAAATTTTGAACTAAAAGTTTACCTCAAAAAAAGAATACAAAAAAACGAAAAAAAACTAGATATGTAATTTGGTTCATCCCCACAGCCCCCCCCCCCTCCCTCATACAACAAAAAAGTTTCCACTAACAATGGAAATGTGCTTTTAAAATTCTCTGACAAGAATTTCCCACGATCTAAAAAATTACATAAACTTTCAACTAGAAATAAAATTATAGTTAGCTTAGTTGCAAAAAAAAAATGGAAAGAATTATAAAAGGTCATAATAATGATTTGTTAAACATAAGAAAAACCCTAAACAAAAAAAATTGATTCAATATTTTTATTGTATACAAAAAAACAATTCGGCAATCAGTAGACAATTGTTTTTTTGTTTAGAATTAACATATTCGAAAACTAGGGTGATTTTAAAATTCTTGGTATTTATTTTTTTACCAAGAACGTAAAGCTACTTTTCTTTGTAGCCTATTGAGTAGGGTGTGTCATACTATGGTCAAAACTCAAAAATTCATAGTTACCAGTGGCATTTTTTAAAAAAGGGTGAGGTTTAACATATGAAATTCAGAAATATCAAAAAATTTGAATTTAAATAAGTTTAAGCTACCAGGGAACTGCCTTGAAAATTGCCGAAAAGTGTGAATTTTTGATATTTTTATACTTTCAGGGTCATTTTCAATATTTTAGACTTATATCTGTTTTACAACATCTTAAGAAATTAGGAAAAAGGAAACGAAGATAAGAAAGCAGGATATATAAAATTCATTTAATAGTTATGCTGTTTCAGAAATTTTTATGAAAACTAAAAAATTATTATTTTTTCAATGTTTTGTGGCGTTAATTTACATCTCTTTCCCCCTATTTTTGATTATGATAGAAAATTTTATGTTGATTAAGAATCGTATAAAAACATAGCTCTAAAAATTGAAGCAAAGTACTCTAATTTGATTTTGAAGTTTAAAAATTACACAAAAACGCTATTATTCACCATCTTTTTTGTACTCGGTTATGATTAAAATTCATTCAAAAGTAAACTTTGAAAATAACATAAACAACCTGGTTTTTATTGTCAACAAAAAACGAAACTGTTTTTTAGTAGCTACTGATTTAGAGATAGACAAGGGCTTCAAGGAAGAATAATGATATAAATTGATACCTGCTCCAACCCTGACCCTTTGATGTGTTATCAACTCTCTTGCGAGTTCTCCCGAAATCAGTCGATGTATGTACTGAAGCCCTCGCCTATCCCTAAATCAGTAACTAAGGGCAAGAGGGCAAAAGTTAACAAACAGAATTTTACGCCACTATTCTGCAACATTACCTTTAAAAGTATAATTAATTTTTTAAAAATAATGAATAATTTATGTAAAAAAAAAAAGTTTATTGTATAATTATAATTAATAATTGTATTTTTTTTTAAACTATGTAAATTTTAGTATCGATGAAAATAAAAACCGGGTTGCGTAATTAAAAATAAGATTTATAAAAAAGTGTTGCATTTAAAAAAGATAGCGAATATTAGCGTTTTTTGTGTAAGAAATAAACTTCAAGATCTAATTAGAGTACTTTGCTTTAGTTTTCAGAGCTATGTTTTTATACGATTCTTAATCAGCATAAAGTTCTCAAAATCAAACATAAAAATAGGGGGTAGAGATGTAAATTAGTGCCAGTTTTGTATGTAATTTAAGTTATACATTTTAATTGATGGTTCTAAATGGCTACACAGAAAACATCATTCTAAAGTTTTTTGTTTTAATATTTGTCATGCAAGTTATATATATATATATATATATATATATATATATATATATATATATATATATATATATATATATATATATATATATATATATATATATATATATATATATATATATATATATATAAATATATATATATATATATATATATATTAAATTTAATTATACTTTGTATCTAGTAATTTTGAAAATTATACATATATATATATATATATATATATATATATATATATATATATATATATATATATATATATATATATATATATATATATATATATATATATATATATATATATATATATATGTATATATATAATTTTCAAAATTACTAGATACAAAGTATAATTAAATTTAAAATGGCTGCTGGAACAAGATGGAGAAATGATTTTTGTCTACGCCAATATTTGGGATCTGGAAAAGAGTTGCCAACATCTGAACTCCAACACTGAGAGATGTCCTAAGATATGGTATTTCTTTGAGAGAAA